TGAGGGACTAAGTCGATGTTCAACTAAAAAAAAAGAGAATATGGAGACTTTTCCTGATGACAGATCCTTTAGACAATTTTCTTAAGGGAAGTAAGTCTAGAGAAAAGACCAAATTTTTTTTTAGGTAGTGTAGTAACTCCCCCTTGGTTTTTCTTTTGGCCGCGGTTCTTTTCCAAGGGTTTAGCTTGAACCGGGTATAGGTAGTTTTTGTTTTTGTTTTTTTTACTTTTTAGTTAGTATTGATGGGCCACGAGCTGAAATCGAAGAGAAACCCTTTGCGTTGATACCTGAACACAATAGATACTAGAGTGTAACGCTTAGTCTCAGTGGTTGATTCTTACTAAAGTGCCTTAAATTGTATGTTTGTCACTGACTTGAGTACTCAAACGAGAGTGTCTTGATAAGGCGATCTGGCGAGTCATGTGCCATGTGTGTGTGAGCTATGTTGTATTCCATGCTTTACATTTGATGCCTAGAACTTGTCCCGTGTGTTTGCAAAGCGAAATAGTACTTTCATTCAGTCTTAGAAGTGATATAGGCAATTATTTGTTGAGCCAGACATATAAAGTAAACCCACCTAAATGTAATACATCGTAATCAACTCCGTTGAGCCTATAAGCATGTTTCCTTGTCAACCATATTGCGAACCTTACCCAATTGTTTGAACCCATTTACCTCCCATAAGCACTTGAATGGTATTGAAATTATGCAAAAGTGTGGGGTGGTGGTTTGGTTTTTGAGTGGAACCGATGAAATAGAGGAAAGGTGCAGTGTTTGGACAAGTAAAAGAATAAGCATCACGTAAAAAAAATTGAGCAAATGTAGTAGTCAATAAGTGGTGGTTAGTTACAATTGCACCTAATAGAGTGGGATGTTGTAAATAAAAATGGGGTGGAATATCTGGTTGACATAAGTATGGTTCTTAAGGTTAATGTGATTGTATTAAAAGTGCTTAGGAAGGTTAGCCACTATATCCAAATATATCCTACCCGTCCCTTAGCCTACATAACAACCAAGTGAAGTCCTAATTGATCTTAGACTGAGTGAACTCGATTAGTAGAGTAGTACACTACGGGCAATCCTATGGCGCGTCTTTGTGGCATGTGAATGTTCCTTGTGAGAGTGGGCGAATTTGTTTATCTACGTTCCTAATTGTTCTTGAAGTTAATATTTGTGGAACTACTCTCTTGTGTGATGTGAGGGCATGTGATTCACGAAGGAAAGGCAAGTATTGACCTTTGTAAAGGGTAATTTGAGTAAATATGAATATTGCACGGCACGTGAGAGTCTACTTTTGAGGCAAAGATTGTTCACTACTTGGCGTAACTTTGATGATTTGTTCTTGGTGTGATACGTTAAGGGAAAATGCTTAGTGAAGGAACCTCTATAGAGTGTGGTGGATTGCTCGAGGACTAGCAATGAATCAAGTGTGGGGTATTGATAATAGGCTAGATTCATGTAATTTGGCGTCTGTTTACGCCCCAGCTTGATTATGTTTCATAGTTCTAATATAGTTAAATGATGATAAATGGGCTCTAATTGTGAATTTTACACTTTGCAGGAGTGAGTGGTATGTATGAGGACATAAGACTGTAATCGGAGCCAAATTGAAGCAAGAAAATCCCCTAGGATCTGAGTACGTGGGAAGACGAGAGAAAGAAGAGAAAAAATGGAGACATGGACTAGCGCGGCCACTAGCACGACCGCGCTAGCCCAGAAAGTCAAGGCAGAACGATAGAGCATATGTGCGGTCATTAGCGCGATCGCGCTAGCCTAGTTCCGAAAAATTAAACTTCAGGGGTAAATTCGGAAGTTCGGGGGTAATCCACTTAACCTATAGAAGGTCCAGGTCGCCCATGGGATCATTATGAAGGTTTTCAAGGCTTGTTTTTAGACTACGGAGGAGGAAGAACAAGGGTGTGAAGATCTACCAAACATTAGAGTTTTTCTAACTCCTTTTACTTCTTGCAATCAAACATTATGAACAACTTTGTAGTTTTGTCTTGTTTTATTATGAGTAGCTAAACAATTAATCTAGGGTTGATGGAACCAGTTGTTGGTTGAAGTTTTGACTCAACTTGTTATAATCGAGTCGGATTTATGATATGATTGTTCAACTACGTTTTGTATGGTGATTAATTGAATGGGCCCTTGATTAATCGTGTCTAATTACCTCGTATTGCTTGAGAAAGAATATTAGGTTAGACTGCTGTTGAACAACACCACTTTTGGGTAATTGAAGAGATTCGTTACTTGAACTTAAAAGTGGGTTTAGAGATAACGAAGCTTTGGTGGGATAATTTAGAGTTGCACATATTGTCAGTTAAAGTAGTTCGAGAGAATGCTCTAGTAAATTATCGTAGTTGATCCATAGATAATTACGAGAACCCATAGCTCTTAATCCTCATAGAGTATTACGACGAGATTATAGCAAAAGAGTTAAGACCTAAACTAGCAATTGGGGAAATCAATACCATAGACCTTTTTACCATTGAATTATATTTGCTTTAGTTTATTGTTATTTTTAATATCATTTGAAGTAGTTAAACAAAAACCCAAGATTGATTGATAAAAATCTTGCATCTAGAAATTGTTTGAGTTAATAATAGAATTGCCAAAGGGTTGTAATAGATAGGTTAGTTCCGTGAGGATTCGACTCCGGACTTAAAATCAGATTATATTTGTAACGATCGCTTTGTCTTTTAGAAGGCATAATTGGGCGTGATCAATTCTGCACACATAAAGATCTACAAGTGGAATGTTAGATCGATCTTTTTAATTTTAAAGAAGAAAATTTATGGTGGATAAAATTATAATCAAGATTAAATCTTCAAATCAAGAGATGAACTAATATTAAGAATCTGAATCAACATAAAATAAATTATTTTTTGTGTTAAGACCAAATAATTAAATCTTTCAATTAATTATTTAGCAAAAGAATCCAATTCAATTATTTTTTAAATTTATCGTATGAGTAAAATTATTTTTCAAGTTTAGAAAAATCTTAGGGTACATAAATTTATTCCATAAAAAGAGCGTTAGAGATTAAAAAAATTAAAACACAAAGTAAAAAATGTTATTATAGTATAAAGAATCAAATGGCCATACATGTGTATGTTGAAACACAATCAAAGCTAAATCCTGAACAAGAACAAGTTTTCAAGACCATATTATAAAAATCGACTCTTATAACGGGATTATCCTTTGTAGATGCCTCTGACGGAATAGAAATAATACTTTTATGTCATGCATTACTTGCAAATGTCAAAGCAAGAGGCATGATACTGTTAGCAATAATAACAAATAGATTTGATATATCTCTTCAAACAACTTAAGTAACCATCATAAATATATCAAAGCAAAGCAATAGTTCTAAATTTATAAGGAAAACAAAATTGATAATATGGGATAAAGTTCTTATGCCCTAGAGATATACTGAATACCAGTGAATCATTAGGGGAAAAACTAATGGCTTGGAAGGTGATTTCCGTCAAGTACTATCAATAGTTACAAAATCGACGAAAGCAGAGACTGAAAACTAGCTTGTCAAAATTATACTTATAGCCTCAAATGAAAAACATTCAACTGACAAGAAATATAAAATAAGAACAGATCCAATATTCAGTAACTTCTTGCTTCGTGTCAGAAACGAAGAAGAGCATCTAATAAAAGATGTTTTGGTTCTTCCAGAACACTTAGTTATCAATCCCTATTGTAATAGTAGTGCATTTAATAAGAAAAAAATTTCTATCAATAGATTAAAAGGTAATTTGCGCAAATTGCATGATAGAAATTAAAAAGCTATCTTAGCTAACAGAAATAAATATGTTGATTAACTAAATAAAAGGTTGATTGTAAAATTTTATGGTAAAAATAATATATGTTTTAGTTTTTGATTCAGTATAATATGATACCAACAATTGCTACGAAGAAGAATAATCAAATACTTTAATACCAAATGGTCTTCTATCATACATGTTGTGAAGTTTATTTTTTCTTATGTATGTCAGTGTCACTGTATATGTAATAGACTAAGTTAAAATTCATCTTCAATTGCATATAGATTGATTTTGATGAGAACTATGCCCATCATGCTACTTAAAAACTTAGATCAGCTGAATAGCTTATGTAATAGCACATAGATGGTATATAGAAGTTTTGACAATAACGTCATACGTGCAAAAATTATGATATTAGTCAATGTGCTTCTAAATATATTTTATCCCTGAATTCAATTTTTGTCTTCCGAAACTAAAGAATATTCTTTTAAATTTGTGTGAAAATAATTTCTGATATATCTATATTTTGCAATTATAATAAATAAAGCACAAGGATAAACATCCTAAATATTGGACTATATTTATTGCAAATATATTTTCTTGGACGAACAACTATATGTTGTACTTTCAAGAGGAATATCATTATCGAGAATAAGAGTTCTGGTTATGACACAGCAACCAAAGCATTAGAAGAAAGCATACACACAAAAAATCATCTACAAAAAAATGTTCGGTAAAATACCATCAAATTAAATACTGTTAAACTATAATACATAGTTATCTAACTAACATGATTAAATTGATCGTTTGTGTAAGTTATGATGATGTCCTTTAATCTTGAATTCACGTATTATGTTAATATAATAATATTTTTTGACTTTCAAATGATTTAAATGGTTAAACCATCACGTGCCATTATTAATGTGCAAGGTACATTCGTAAATAATACTTCTACAAAACAAAAAAAATCCAATGGGAGAGTCCTCCCTAACCGAACCATTTAACCGACCCATTAAAGAGACCCATTTAGCCGGAAAAAAAAAGAGAACAGCGTAACCCCAATAAGAGCTACAGAAAAACCCTACCTTTCCACTCTTCGTATGCGTGCACATTGCCTCTATCGCTAAGCTCACACTTCTGCTTTCAGCTTCAAAGGTGGCTATCTCTCTCCTATACGCACCATTCCATATAGAACACAGAAAGAAAGCTAAACAAAGAGAAGAGATTTCCAATCATGGTGGACGTTACGTATATGGGAGAAATCACAGCCATAGCCGCTAGGATTAGTGTGGATCTTTCCCAAATCGATCTTGACTCCATTCATCTTCCTCCTAGTGAAGATTGTGGCATACCCAGGTCTTAAATCTTGACTTTCCTTCTTTTTTTTTGTGTGTGTTTCTGCATTTTTATGATTTATATATGCGCTTTGTATGTGGTGATGCTTATGGGTTTCCTTTCTTTGCTGTAAAGTCTGGGTCTTTTTAATTTTTTTTGAGTTTGAGTTTATTGTTTTGGTTCATATGCTTTGAAGATTAGAAATTTCTAGTGTTTTTTTGGCTTTTTGAGTTTGTTGGTTTTATTTTATGTTTATATTCAGTTCAATATGTTAAATTTTTTATGGACGTATATGTCTGGGCTTCTTTTCTATGATGTGAAGTTTGGATTTTGTCAACGTTCTTCTATTGAGTGTGCATGCCTGTTAATATGTTGTGAAGATTAGACTTTTAGTGTTTTCTTGGGTTTTGCATACTCATTACCCTCCCCAAACCTCACTTGTGCTATTTCACTGGGTTGTTGTTGTTGTTGTTGTTGGATTTTGAATATGTTGAGTTTTTGCATTTGCGAGTCTTGAATATGTTGAGTTATAGATCCATTACCATTTAAAAAACCTTGATTTATATATGGATTTTTATGTGTTTTTGCATTCTCCTTGAGTTCTGTTCATATGTTGATAAGATATAGTTTTTAGCGTCTCTATTGGGGATTTGATATCTCCATTTGTATTTTCAGACACCGGTAATACCTTAATTTATATATGAATTTTTATGTGTTTCTGCTTGATTTCGTTTCTTTTGTTTGACGTTTAGGTTCTTTTGGTTTGTAATTGTGGTTTTGGTTCATACCGATAAAGAAAGGGTTTGTAGAGTTTAAATTCTCTTTGGTTCATATACCATGAAAATGGGTTTTGTAGTTTTTCCTTTGGTTTTGAATTTGTATGTTATTTTGATATTATCAGTGATGATGATGACTTAATGGAGGAGGACCCCTTGGAGTTTGATGCTGGTTTTGGGAACATACTGGTGGTGGACAATCTTCTTGTGGTGCCTAAAGAGAAATTTGAGAAGTTGGAAGGAGTAGTTCGGAAAATTTACAGCCAACTTGGTGTTATTAAGGAGGATGGTCTCTGGATGCCTATTAATCCTGAGACTCAGAAAACCCTTGGGTACTGCTTCATCGAGTATAATACTCCTCAGGTACTCCAATTTTTTTCTCCCTAGCAGCTACAGTGTATCTCATTTCTTTAGACAATGTGTGAGACTTGTAACTGAATTGTGGAAGATGTTAACCAGTGTCATGTTGCTATGTTTGTCTGCTTTAGGAAGCTGAGCTGAGTAAGGAGAAGACACATGGATACAAGTTAGATAGGTCGCATATATTTGCTGTTAACATGTTTGATGACATTGAGAAATTCCTAAAAGTTGTCGATGAGTAGGCTCCACCAGAGATCAAGCCTTATGTTCCCGGGGTTAGGCTCTTCATCAGCTATTTTTTTCTCCGGCGAGCACTATGTGTCTTAAATATTAGCTTTTCATTCATCTGCTAACATTGAGATGTTTGTATCCTGGCAGGAGAATCTGCAACAGTGGCTTACTGATGAGAAAGCTCGAGACCAGTTTGTGATTCGGGCCGGCAATGACACAGAGGTCCTCTGGAATGATGCAAGACAGTTGAAGCCTGAGCTTGTTTACAAACGTTCTGTAAGTGAACTTATTTCCTCTTTGTGCTCATTTAGCTATCCATTCATGGGGTGTTTTGGTACTGTTTAGTGTCTCATATTTTCAGAATTCGAAATGGGTCTTGCACAGAAATTGTTTCTTTAATAGATGTTTTTTTCTTTTATGAAGATGGGTAATTACTAAACTTTTTCTAACGATGTCCTTTGAGTGCAGTTCTGGACTGAGACTTTTTTTCAATGGTCCCCTCTGGGATCGTATTTGGCAACAGTTCACAGACAAGGTGCTGCAATTTGGGGTGGTGCCACCACTTTCAACCGTCTGATGCGCTATGCACATCCACGGGTTAGTTTCTGTTTATTTTCTAATGAAGCTTTGCAGGTTTTTGTGACTTACCTCTGCTGGCTTTAAATTCAGGTAAAGCTGATTGATTTCTCCCCTGGTGAGAGATATCTGGTGACATACAACAGTCACGAACCAAGTAACCCCCGTGACACTCATGTAAGTCTGAGCTTTATTGTGTTTGTGTATCTGATTGTGGCCATACTGGATTGTCTCTAATATAGTTTTCTTTCAGAGGGTTGTGCTAAATATTTTTGATGTGAGAACTGGGAAAGTGATGAGAGATTTCAAGGGAAGTGCCGATGAATTTGCAGTTGGAGGAACTGGAGGTGTTACTGGTGTGTCGTGGCCAGTTTTTAGGTGAGATTTGATCCTATTGTAAGAGATGATTTCTATCCTTCACTGCTACCTGTTGTTAAAGTTATACCTAACATTTGCAAACTCTTGCATGCTTGAGTACATACACGATTCGTCAGAAATATAATGAAAAGTGGGGCTGGAATCCGATGGTTCCGTTAGCTCTGTTAGGTGATTTCGGGGTTGGGTGCGTGTTCAGAATGTATTTTGGAGGTCCGTAGCTAATTTAGGCTTGAAATGCCGAAGCTTGAATTTTTGAAGTTTCCGGCCCGATAGCGAGTTTTTGATCCGAGGGTCGGATTGGAATTTCGAAAGTCGCAGTAGCTCCGTCATGTCATTTGGGATGTGTGTGCAAAATTTCAGGTCATTCGGACGTGTTTTGGTTAGGTTTTTGATCGAAAATGTATTTTGATGGAATTTGAAGTTCTTAGGCTCAAATCATTGCTTAAATTCGAGTTTCCGGCGTTATTTTAGGTGGTTTAAGGATTGGTACAAGTTTGAATGATGATATGGGATATGTCCGTAGGTTTGGTTGAGGTCCCGGGGGGGGGGGGGGGGGGTCTCGGTTGTGTTTCGGATGCTCAACGGAGCATTTTGGAGTTTGGAAATGTTGCAGAAAATCCTTCAGCTGTGCAGGTCCCAAATCCTTCTTCGTGTTCGCGGTACCTTCCTCGCGTTCGCGTAGCTTTGGTCTTCTTCCTCTTCGCGTTCGCATAGTGTAATTTGGAGCTGAAGACTGTGCCAAATCTTTCCTCTTCGCGTTCGCGTACGCCTCTTCGCGTTCGCGTACCTTTGCAAAGCCACCCTTCGCGTTCGCGTACTGTGCCACGCGTTCGCGAAGGGCAATTCTGAGCCATCGTATTTTTCTCTTCCGCGTTCGCGGGCCTGCTTCTGCATTCGCGAAGCATAAATTGAGCAGCCTTCATTTTTCTTCTTCGCGAACGCGAGACATACTCCGCGTTCGCGGTTCATTAAAAGCCTGATCAGTACTTAGCATTCAAAACGAGGGTTTTTGCCATTTTAAACAAAACTCAAGCTAGAGAGCTCGGATTTGGGAGAGATTTTGAGAGTTTTTCAGAGGCATCGATTGGTAACGATTCTCTACTCTCTTATTGATAATAGGCGAAATCTAGATGATTTAGCTATTATTTATGCGTCCGCCTGATTATATTCCAAGGTCATATTATGATTAATTGATGAAATATGGTCTCTAATTGCGAATTGTATATATTTCAGGTCAAGGAGCATATATTATGCAAGAAAATGTGATTTGGAACCATTCTGGAGCAACAAAGACCCCTCGAAGCTGAGTATGGTTGAAGACAAGGCAAAAAAAATCAAGGACACTGCACAACTGGGCTAGCGCGCCCATATGCGCGCCCGCGCTAAAACTAGCGCGTCCAAAGACAGAAACTCACCAAACTAGCGCGGCCAGATGCGCGCCCAAATGCGCGGCCGCGCTAGTCCAAAATCCGACGATGGTTCATTGGGGGCAAAAGTGGAAATCTGGAGAAAAATTCACTTAACCTATATAAGGTCAAGCTCGCCCAAGGGAGTTTTATCAAGGTTTTCATAGGCTAAAGCAAGGCAGAGAGAGGCAAGAGGCAAGGAGGAAATTGGATCATCAAGTTTTTCTTTTCTTCTCTTTGTTTTTGCTAATTATGATGAAATTGAATATACTTGTGATGAACAATAGTATGAGTGGCTAAAACCCATTGTTCTAGGGTCATGGGTAAAACATGAACATTGTTGTTTGAGGTTTAATTTGACAAGTTGGTTTATCATCTTGGGTTGTTTATTTAATTCTGTTGTTAATTGTTTTGCTGAGTAGCTAACAGTGAAACACTATGTACGAATCTAGAGTTGAACTCGAAAGTGGGAATTCTAGGTTGCATATAGAATTAAATAGAGCAGGTTCTTGAACCCGGGCCTCGGGGAACAGATTCGCAATTGGGATAGACATATACCCACTTGCCTTGCTTGGCTAAAATACAGGAATTGTAAATGCGTTCTTGTTAATCTTAATTCCATAGAAATATAGGCATTGAGTCAACTTGAGCAGGCGAGTAAGAAGTCGACATATTCTTACGAGTAATATAAACCTTGTCAATCAATAACCCAGATAAATCGATTAGTCATCTTAAGCTAAGGACACAACAAGATTGTTAACTAGCCCGTGACCCTGGAATATCCTCTCCTACTGTGTGTTATTCGAAACTGCTATTCGTTTGGTTAATTGCTTTAGTTAGATTATTTCTTGATAATTTAGGTAGTAAAATAAGTACATCTTTATTCTGTGACGCATCTCTTGAATAAGTAAAGTAATTGGGTTTGAGTCAGTCAATAGTTGATCACAAGTCTTCGAGGGAACGATACTCTACTCACTACTCTATTACTTGACGATCACGTGCACTTGCGTGGGTGTTTTTGGTCGCAACAGCTGACTTGTCTTCTTTTTTCTTTTCTTTACTGCTTTCCTTTACTACTGCTTTAAATCATGAAAACTGTTGTATTTACTGCTTTCTTTAACGTGCAAATAACGTGACAACATGCCTCTAATTGTTGCATAATCATGCTCGACATCATATTCTACTCGTGCAAAACAAATACCATAGCAACGCTTGTAATGAGTGGTTGCGCTTTTCCAATATTATCACCCCCTAAATCCGGCAAAGGCGTATTTGCGGTAAAACCAGTCGATCAACGGTGTAGTCGACGGTTCGGTGCCTTTCCCTCTTGAGTTGTCCGCTCAAGGGTACCAGTCTAAAACCCTATAGAAACCTTATCTTGTTTAACTGTGCATGCATCATGGTCAAACCTCGCCGAGTCAGTTATGTTTTTCGCATAATGACTCTTTAAGATAGCCTTGTCCAAAGTCCATTGGGTTTCCCTAAAACCCAAACGGACATTATCACGTTCTGTGCATTTATTTGGAGAACTAAATGCTTTTATGCCAATTATTGATGTTAAATAGTCGAGTCCAGTGGGGGAAAGGGCCTAACCTTATTTTCTTGCAGATAATAAGGTACGAAATCCCCAGATTCGGCATAGTTACCAACATCCACCCGAGACTGCTAAGCTGGTGGAAAGATCTTCATTCCAGTGACCAGACTCTTACCTGGAGCGAGGCATAGTGGAGCTAGAAAGAAGGTTTCTCAAAAGGGTCGAAGATTGTCAGAATGCTGAGGGGAACGAAGGCGGACATCTAGCCAGAGCCTACCTACTGCTGGGACTTCGCAAGCTGGGGAAGTTATTTGACGAAGCCAGGGATGCCGAGTCTGGGGAGGGTCCTTCAGGGACCAAATAGATAGGACTTTATCTTTTCGCTATTTAAATTGTAATAAGGCCAATGGCCATTAGTGACTTTATTTTTCCTGTTATTTAGCGTCGATTTGGGATTCGTCTTATTTCTATCAATAAGATGAGGCATTTAGCATTCTAAGTTCTCCAAATCAACTTGTCGCTAGGCCTACCTAGGGCACAAAGAGGTCCTCAAATTAGGACGCGATTTACATTCCCGCATTATGTGTTTAAATATTGCATCGATTTTTTTTACGAACCTCACTAACTTGGTTACCTTTTTGTTTTATTTTTGTTATTCCCCTCCCCAAAGGTTAGTTCGAGCACTCTGGCAACATCATCATATTCCACAAGATCCAAGGGCCCTCTACCCACTCCTCCTCTCAGTCCCATCAAAAACAAGAACAAAGGAAAGATGGAAATTTTGAACAACACCAGGAAGGAAAACTCAACTGAACGGATAGAGGCCACTCACGGTCATGGTACTTTGGTTCCCAAGGAGAATGCCTCCCAACTGGAGCAAAAGCTGCTGAAATTTCAGGAAGAACTTGATCAAGTACGGAATTTGGCGAATCTGTCATTTTCCCTCACTACTCCAGACATCAATTTCCCAAGTGCTCAGAACCCCGCACCTCCACAGAGTCTCCCAAAGCAACAGAACTACACCGCTCCTCACCACCACTGCAACACCTGTTATACTTCCAGCAATACCCCGATGCTCATCTCACAAAACTCCACAAATGATCACTGCCACACCCACCACAACACCCCTATCTATGTGGAGACTGTGTCGCACCTCCCACCCCACCCACTCC